ATCTCCCCTCTTTTAGATTATATTTTTTAAGATGTTCCTCACCAGAACCACATTCTTTATACAAAGGCAGAAGCTGCCCAGAGCTGCCTCAGGTATCTGCAGTTGAATACAATGTGATATTTGATAAGAATTGTATTTTCTTTACTGAAAAACAGAATGTCTACAGACATAACTGGAAAATTAAACCTAAACTTGGTTTTTAGGGGAAATTCCCCAAACATTTTCTTCTATTTGAAGATGAACAAGAAGAGCTTAAGTAATACTGCACTTGATTTACTTCTTGCTTGGTAAGAAAAATGTTTGGCATTCAAGTAGGCATTCTTCTTGCCATCTCTTTTGCAAGTAATAACTCAAATGTTCAGACTGCACAGCATCCACTTAATAAAAATCTTCCCTAAGTGGGTTCATTGAATTAATATTAAAATGATAAGTAAGTCACAGGAGAAATTTCAGCCCTGGAAATAGGTTCGCAAGGAGTTACCTTTGCTTATACGCCTTCCCAAGCACAAAGAATATTAGAGACACACAGTGTTTGCAAATATAGTTATCATATAAAACTAGGAATGCTCCCAAGAGGTGATTTGTGCTCTAAAAGTACTCCTCCTCCTGAAGCAGCGTCTCACAAACTCTGAACCACAGTGTAAAAGTGCCTGTTTCTCTTACCTGATCAGAAATGCTCCAGAAAATGATTTATCTGGTCAAGATGCACTCACATACCTGAAATGCAGCTGCATGGTCTCAGCAATTCAATTTGCATGAATCACAAACAGGTTTGAGTGTTGCTGGATGAGTAAATTACTTGTGGTTTCTGACTAACTTAAATAATTTTTGCCAAGTTTGATCTAAATTCAGTATGCCCCCGTAAAACCCCAAACCCAACAGAGAGAAACTTCCAAGAAAACATTTAAGGTAATCTGAAGGAAGCTTAGAAGAGTCAGGTTCTTTACTGTGAATGACATTACTTACTGAAATTTAGCTAAACTGAGGGGGTGTGTGTTAAACCCTCCCTTTACAAGGAGCTGAAACACTATTTAGGCTTTCTCTCCTTCCTATTTATTTTACTGAAGGGAAAAAAGAAGGGAAGAAAATAGATGGGGCTACCCTGCCACCTTTCTCCAAGTAGTTAAATATATTTTTTTTATTCAATCATGAAACTAAAAAACCAGTATCATAAAATTCCTTCCAAAGCATAAAAAACCTCCTAACTTCACTTTGAGGCTATTGCTCAGCTTAAGTTAATGGAGCAATGACAGGGATATCACCTTGTTCTTCTGGGTAACCTCATCCACACAGGTCTTTCTGTGCTTCATCACTGTATCACCAAGTCATGCTGAACCTGTCAAACTACTGCTTAAGAAAAGGTGCATTATACATTTGTCATGGGGTGACATTCTTCTGCTTAATTCTGCATTCAAGGATTTCAAAGCAAATCACACCAAAATCTACATTAAAAATACCCCATTGTTTACATGTTAAAAAAAAAAATAATTACATGTGCAACAGAGACAATGAAACAGCTGAATCTGCTTTAGTCTGTCAGGAAAAAAAGAATGGGTTGGTGATTACCTGTTTGCAGGGAAAGAGAGAAAGAGGCAGAGAAAACAAACTCAATGTAATCCAAGGTCAGGCTTGATTTTTCAAAAAGCAGATCTTGATCACTAGCCTGAAGAAAAAATAAAACACCCCTCAAGGCTCTCTACAGCTTCCTAAGGAGGGGAAGTACACAGGAAGATGCTCAGCCCTTCTCTCTGCTACCCAGTGATGGTACACATGGGAATGGCTCAAATCCGCAGCAGGGGAGGTTCAGACTGGACATTTGGAGGCATTTCTTTACCCAGAGGGTGGCCAAACATTGGAACAGATTTCCAAGAGAGGTGGTCAGTGTCCCATGTCTGTCAGTGTGTAAAAGGCATTTGGTCAATGACCTAAATAACATGCTTTAACTTCTGCCCTGAAGCGGTCAGGCATCTGGGCAAGATGATCACTGTGGGTCCCTTCCAAACTCAGTCTTGTCTAGTTGATTTTGTTAATAATAAAATAATAGTAATAATAGTAAAATTCTAATGTAAGGCTGTCTTGAATATGGATGGCGAGAGGGACTGGGTGAGACATCTGGGAACACTGGTTTGAAGGACAGAAAAAGACTGAATTGGTATTCATGCAGTGGTTGCTGGTCAGCTGGAGTCCTTGACTGCTCTAAAACATCAAGTTCCTGTTTCTGATAATGTTTCCAGATTACTTTGGATGAGAAAAATGATTTTACCTCACGCAAATAAACATTAAGCAAGTGGAACTGAAGCAATATATTTATTACATGTCAGAATAAACTATTAAAAAACCCCAAGCAACCAAAAAACCACCTCAACAAATTCTGACAACATTTTATGAAATTTGTGCCTTTTAGAGGTGATCCTAATTTTCCTTGAAACATACTCAAAATTGTCTTTGACTAATGGAATAATTTATGAATTTAACAGGGGCAAAACCTTGGTTTCCCACTGAATTTGAGTAAGCTAAATCATTCTATAAGGAAAGTTTCCTGCTGTGCAAACAAGAGGACACTGATGGGGCAAGTTTTAGCACAAACTAAGAAGCAATAGCTGTCAGTATCCTTTACTACCACAAGTACAGGGCTGTTATGTGAGAGGTGACACCATGGCAAAACTTCAACCTGGAGGCACTCACGGTTATCTCAGGGGACAGAGACAGAAATCTGATGCAAAAACAGTTACCATGTGTTGGTTTTCCAGTAGAAAACCTCTCAGGCTTCTCTCAAGAGTTTGACAAAGCTGAGAAACAAGAGCCAGATAGATCAGGGCTTCTGACATCATCTGGAAAAAGCTCAATATCTTACACATTTCCTTACAGTCACAAATTGTCTTGTAGAATTTGACTGGGGATTGCTATACATGCAGCCTAGCATGTCAAGGCAGGGAAAACCAAATTCTGAGTTACTTAATCCCAAACTCTCTGAATTCAAGGAAAAAGCTCTCATGGACCAGTAGATTGTGGAGGATGCTCCAGGGTCTGGTTTTGGCTGAATGCTAATTTTTGAAGTGCTACATGTGCTGGTGCAGAGACTTCCGTCTCAGTTTTAGTAAGAGGCATTTATTTCTCTTTGCTACAAAGCCACTCTGAGCTCTGGATAACTCAAGACTCAACTCTTACCCAAAAGCCCTGTGAAGCCTTTGGGATCACAGCACCCTTTGCAGCTGAAACACATTGCATTTTTGCATGTAGAAAACACACATCTGCAGGGGCTTAATGCTTTTAAAGAGAAATCTCCAGTAGTCTGAAAAGTCTCTGGAAGCTCTTTCCTTTTTAATTTAGAAAGGTGGCATTTGGCTGACACTGGCAAGCAAACTCGTATTTATGAAGTGCCCTCTCAGTGTCCCGTGAAATTTGCCATTTCCCTCCATGACAGTCAGCACCATCTATCACGAGGACATAATCCCCTGAGACAGGAGAGCCAGCCCCTTTGCTGCTCTCCTCTGCAAACAGATGTGTGCACGTTCCCCAGCTCTGAAAGTCACGGCCGCTTTTTGGCAGAGAGCTGCAGCAGCTGCACATCTGCAGAGGGGAAAAGCTTTCAGCAAAAACTAGAGCGGGATCTCATCCTCCCCCCTCGCCTGCAAAGCAAGCTCAGCATTTGTTCCTCTCCAGATGACACCCCGATGGGTTGATTTAATCATTCACACATGCATGCCTATCCACAATGCTGCCAAAATACCAGGCCTGTGACAGCATCTCACCTGAACTGCTCACAGCAACAGGGCTTATCAGCAAGCGCTTGGCAAGGGCCTTGCAGGGTAAGAAGACAAAATCAACGTTCAAGGGCGCTGCTAAAACAAAATGATTCTACAGAATACACGTGGGTGAGTGGGAGACCTCTTGTGATGAGGAGAACACTTAAGCACACGCTTAATTTTAAGTCTATGCTCAAAGCATATTGCTACCTCCAATTAGGCTGCGTGAAGTCCGGTTCCAAACTTCCCAGAGCAGGAATGATGTCCTGTACTGGGAGCCAAAGCACTTGGATGCACTTGGATGGGTGGATTTAAGCACCCATGTGGACCGAGACCTACATGTCTGCCTAAACGATTTGCCAGAATGGGGGCACAGTACAGAATATTTAAATGTGGCAGGATTGCAGAAACACTTCACCACTTTTATTCCCAAAGGGAAATCTAATTAAAACACAGAGCATCTAGCCATTTAAAGTGTCTCTGATTACAAAGAACAGCAAGTCCTTGCCCCCTGAAACAGTCTCTCCAGTGGACTGCCAGATTCCCCAGTAAGTTTCTGGAAACACAACTGATGTGCCTGAACTTGGTCAGGAGCCATCCGCTCTCTGGGATCTGTAGGATCAGGAGTCTCAAGGTCTGGCAGGGTCTCATCCAGAACTCCTTCAACCACTTCCAAGTGAGGTGGCACCTTTCCCCACTCAAGCTTCCCTTAAACATCATCAGCTCATGACATTTTAAGTGTCTGTGCCAGATTTTCAAATGAGCTCAGAGTAAAGCTTTTGTGAGTGCTTCTCCCAAGACCAGCTTTTCTGCCAGGCACAGTCTCCTGCACAGATATCCTACCATGGCAAAGCCTTTCCAAGCAAGGTCAGCACTTCATATGCTGAACTCTTCAGCCAATCTGATTACTTACCATGATGCCTGATGAGGAGAAGGGCATCGGAAAATACAGCACCTCCTGGCAGAACCTATATTTACACCAGGCTCCATTCAGATCAATAGCTCTGTGCTGCACATATTCTAGAGGGAATGAGAGCAGTGGAACAAACCTCCACCAGCATTAGCAGTGCTATTTTATAGGGGAGGCAAGACTGGCCACAGTTAAAGGATGCCACACTTGAAAACAAAGCAGTGCTCCTACAATGGCTCACATGGCAGCACCTGCCTTATTAGTGGCACAGCACTAGTAGCAGCAAGTCCCTGAGTCCACTTCAAGCATCACCATCAGAGAGGGCTGAACCACAGCTGGCTTACCTGTCTAGCTTCCCTCCTTTTGCCTTTTACTCTGATCTTCCATCACACATCTCAAAGTGGTCCAGGCCCCTCACTCAGGCTTCTAGGTGAGGTCTTGTCAGCACTGCACATGGAACCAACTGCAAGAAGAACCCAGTGGATGGCCAGGGCCATCTGTTACAGGCTTTTCTCTATATGAGCTGGTGTTTTTATTTTAACTCCCTCTGCTTCTGGGCCCCTCTTCATCTCTTGCTCCTCCCATCTCCTTCTCTCAACTCATGAGGACAGAGTTTCCATCCTGGCCCTGGGCCAGCACATGTATGGGCAAAAGCAGAGCTCAGGAAAAGCCATCTTCTGCTCCCTTTCATCACGTAAACACTGCCAGTTCCCAGCCCAGGAGCACAGGGCTGAGTCAGAGCTCTGCCTGCAGTGCAGGGGGACTGAGGACCAGCAGCTCCTGCCCAGGCTGGACACAGCAGCTTGGCTGCAGTGCAAACATCTCCCCTCCTGGCCCTTCTGCTCCCAGTGAGCAGCCTGAGCCTTTACCCCAGCCAAGGAATGGCTTGTTAGAAGGCAGACACAGATGCATCTCACATTCAGCAAAGGTCATGTGTAACAGCACATGCAGGTAAAACAGTCAAGCCAAATTCTTGTTTGCACCAGACATTAAAAACAAGAGAACCAGAAGACCCCAAGCAAACCTAACTGGCAGTGCCCCAGCACTGGGATGACAATCCTGCCCTAAGAAGGCCTCAGAGACATATCAGCTCCTAACAAGTTTAGTCAGTAAAAATTGACCTTAAGTCACCACTAAATCTTGCATCTGCTTTCCTAAACCCTTGAAAGTAACACTATGCCAGCTGCAGCTGGTTTCCCTAACCTGGGGAGGGGAAAAAGCACTGAAGCAAAGAATGAAGATTACACCAGCACTCACAGCATTCATTCCAGCACAACATTACTCTTTCAAGCCTCTGCCCTTCTAACTGTGCTTGACTTCCTTCAGCTTTACCGTGGGACAGTACTATTTTCAAAAAAATAGAAATTATGTCCTCAATAACTGTTATCAGCACAAAAGAAAGGAGTCACAGTGTTTCAAACTTCTTGCAAGGAAGATTTCCCATGAGCTCCCTTTTGGGGTTTTTGTTGTGCACACACAGGACCCCACATTTGCCCAGAAAATGTTTAGGCAATGTATTTACCTCAAAGCAGTGCAAACTCAGGGGAGTTGTATTCCTGTGTTTCAGCACAGGAACACCCCAGCCATCACTCCAGGATTATTCCAAGAGCACAGCCACTGTGAGCAACTGCAAGGATGACGGGCTGGAACCACATCATAGGGTTCAGAGCGGCTCAGAGCTGTCTCAGCACAGCAGGGACTGGAGCATCCTGATGGCAGAGCCCCAAAGGCGGATGTCTTGCTGCCATGAGTTCCCACTGAGCTCCCAGCTCACTGAAAGACATGAACTGGTGAAAACTCACACGAGTGGCAGGTAAGTATCCACTGCTTTGATCAAGAAAGGCCTGGGGAATTATGACTTTCACCTCATCAGTGCCATGCCCACAGACACAGAGCACTTTGACCCAAATGAACCATGTAAAGGCTGTGAGAGATCTTGAATAGGACCAGCCTATAGAACCTCAAATATTTATTTAAGACAGTGATGATGCCTTTTAGCGCTTTATATACAGAGACCTTGAATTGATTCTCAGCCTGCTCAGTGCTAGCCTTCCCCCAAAGGACACAGGCCTCAGTTGAAATCCCAGGATGTAGAGGTCAGAGACTCCAGGGACTCTAGATTGTCTCAGGCACCCACTTCAAGGTCAACCAAGGCCCCTGCAGAAACTACATTTCAAAAGCACATGAAGCTGGGAGTTCAGTCATGTGGTCATCTTCACTAAAACCTGGGCTAAAGTCATCCCCAAATGTCATGCAGATCCTCACATTTCAGCCTCTGCTTCAGTTTCCAGGAGCTGATAAAGCATCTCCAAGGTGAAGACCAGAAAAAAAATCCCATTAGCAAGATCAACATGCTACTGCTTTTTCCATTGCACTTCAGAGCCACAGCCAAGAAAACACTGTCTCTTTTCCTGGTTTGTGCTGTAAAAAGGGGCTTACAGATACCTCAGATACAATGTTATTTGAGCTGTGTCTAAGCAAAGCCAGGATCACTCATTTACTGTCCAGACTTGAATGAAACAAGAAATTTCTTCCCAGCTCCATCCCATCCCTCCTTCCCTCTGGAGAGTCTTCTCAGCCTGACTGCTATGCAAGTGCATTAAAAGTCCTATTTCAGCATTTCTTTCATAGTAGAGGCCTCTTCCAGCCAGCTCTTGGGATCCTGCCAACAGACATATCAGCCACTAGTACTTAAATCCTTCCGCTAAAAAATGCTTCCCGAAAGAGCTTACGCCCCAGTTCTGAAGGCCTTAGATCATCACAATTAACCAGCTTCAACAAGAGTTTAACAGAGGTTCTTCTCCACTCTCTTGGGCTTAATGGTGCACTACACTGCCTTTTCTCCCCTTGGTCTGGCCTCCACTTAGGAAGGAGCAGCTTCCACACAGTTCCAGCCAGGAAATAAATGTCAGGTGTTACAAAAGGAAGGGAGAACCAGCTGCTTTGAATGATGCATTCAGGGGATCCAAAAGGACACAGCACTTATCAGACACTTCTGAAATGCCCAGCACCTCTCCATCTTTAAGAGACTGTTGTGTGATGATTTAATCAATAAATTTCTTAAGCCAGGGGAAGGACTGAGCTTGCTTCTGTGCTCCCAGAGCACCCAGCAAAATAGAGATTTTAAGTCCTTTCTCTATGAATTAGTTGTTATGGCTGATATTAAGAACAACTAATTGAAAAAGCTACTCCTGGATTAAGATCATCTCTGAAAAACACAGCTTACGTGGTCTTTATTGATTATCTCCTTGTCAAAACGAACATTTCTAATATGTAAATACACCAAGCATGGGAGAGAGATAAGCCTATTCTAAGTGTCTGACAAAGGATCTAAATGCTCTTCTTGTTTCTTGAGAACAGAGAGCACACAGAGGTTGTCTTTGCAGACAAAATGTCCTAAAAGCTTTCCCAAGGCAGTGAGCTGGGGGCAGTACCAAAAGCAGAGCTTTGGGACACTCCACATGCACTTGTGGTCTACAAGGAGCACTGCACTTGGGATCTGAGCTGATGAACAGGGAGGATCTTCTGCGTGGACTGCTAGGACACGGATGTGCCGAAGGCCAAGCCAGGCTTCAGCGCACAACCTTCTCACCCACGCAGCAGAGAGTGGTCCCAGCAGAGCCATAAATCTTTACTCTGCTTTTTACATCCCCAGCCACTCCAGCGCTCTTCGTTTGCAGTGCTTTCTCTTCCGTTTTCTCAAAAAGGCGCCTTATTACCCTGGGAAATCCTGTGGCTTTCCTCTCATTTCCATACTTAGCGTTTTCAGTTGCTTCCAAGCCTGACCCAACATAGTAGTTATCCATTTTCACAGGCTGAAACACTGCCTGGATTATTTTAAAAACCCAAACAACAACCAAACAAAAGCCCTCAAACCCAACATGCACCAAACCCCACGAACACCACCCCAATGACAACAATTCAGAATACAAGGGTGGAGGAAATGCATTCTTTTCCTCTGCCAGGATGCAATAACAACTCCCTTTTTGGTGGTGCAGAAAACAGAGCCAGTACACATTACTGGACCTCACTACCGCACACCAAGAACCAGTGGTCAGTAAGGTGGCAGCCAACACAGAAAACAGCTTTTTAATCCACCACCAACACCAGCAGCTCCCCTCACAGTAGCAAATAAAAGCCCCATGGAAATCCCTCTGGTCATCCCAGCTTTATCCTCCCAGCTGAGTTCCAGACTGGAGATGCTCTTCTCCAAAAGCAACAAACTTAAACAGCTACTTAAATGGCAAGAGCAAAGGTGGCTGGGAATAACTCAGTGTCAGGAACAACTTGCTGACCTGTCTTGGAAAAAAGAGGTGTTGTTGTAAAGAGCAGAATTAAGGGCCCATGTTTAGCACTTAGTCCCCGCTCTTGTGAGGAGGCTCCAGTGCAGACCCAAGCAGTCAGAAAGCCTCAGTCTCCTATGACCATCACTTTTCCTGCACCAAGCGTCAAGAGACGTGCTTACTGGACACTCGAAAAGCCAAAACCTCTGAAAGTGTCCCAAATACAGCTGACATGGTTTTACCTCCCAGTTTGCATTTGACACCTTGGGATCACGGCAGCAGCCAGCCGTAACTTCTTCCTTGTTCCCTTCTCAAACAACATTCCCCTCCGACAACTCCATCCCTAACCCATTAGCACCCATCATCCCTGGGTACGAGAGCGGGAAGGCAAGAAAGCGCTTTTCTCCCCAGGATAGGTGAACACTCCCATCGATCCCCACCGGGAGGGAGACGTGCCACCCTGATAAGCCACAGGCTGCACACAACTGCAGGAGCTCCTTCAGCCAAAGGCAAAGAGGAAAGCAGAGAGAGGGAGAGAGAGAAGTGCAGGGCTAATATCACAGGGGGATTCAGGGTTTTGCCGAACCGAGAACTCAAGCTGTTTGCTCCGGCAGGGCCCGGGCTTCCTCCAAAGAATGTGTTTAGCGTGTCCTTCTCTGTTTTGTGCTAGAGACCGAGGCAGGGTTGAGTTCACTCAGGGGCCCCGTGCTGGGTGGCGGGGCTGCCGCTGCTCCTCCGCCCCGCCGCTCCCGACTCTTTCAGCACTCTTTCTCGACACTTTTCAGGGTCGACTTTTCAGCAGCTCCCCAGGTTGGCTCGCCCCTCTCCCCCCGGCCGAGCCCCGCTCCAGCAGCGGGCCCGGCCCTCAGGCGCCCGGCGGGAGCAGCAGCCTCCCCGTCCCGGCGGGAAAGCGGCGGCGCCCGGGAGCGCTGGGGGATTCGGCTGCCGGCCCCCGCTTTCCCTCTCTGCAGCCGGGGATGAAGAAAAGCCAGCTGGGGGGCGGAAGGGAAGAGGGAATTAAGAGGCTTTTTTTTTGGAGCGGCACCTCTGCCCGCTCTCCCGCCTTAGCGTCCCCTCGGCGCCTCCCTACCTTCCTCGGCAGCAGCAGCGGAGCAGGGGGGCCGTGTCCCGGCATGACGGCGGCAGCGCCCGGCGCCGGGCTGGCGGCTGCGGACCCGCGGCTGGGGGCTCCCCGCCCGCCCCCGCCGCCACCGGCCCCGGCCCCGGCCGCCCTCCGGCGGGAGCGCCGCCCCGTCCCGCCCCGGCCCGTCCCGCCCCGCCGCCGAGGCGGCCGCGCCCGCCCCTCGCTTCGGTCATGGAGCGTCCTGTGCTGCCCGCCCGGGGGAAGCGGGGTGCCCGAGGGAGGCGGCGGGGTCTGCCGGTGTCGAGGCCCGCAGGGCAAAGTGCAGCTGAGTGAAAATCTGGCTGCGGACTGAAAGATTTCTGGGGAAACGTAGAAAGTTCTGACTTGCTGTCACTGTCCAGAAGCTGTCACTGGCACGGCTTCCCGAGGCTGATCGGGTCACAGGCTCATCGCGGGAGAGCACCTGGCCAGG